TCTCTGGACAGCCCTGACATCTGCAAGTGCACCCCCACCTCCACTGGGTCATTTGGTTGCCTACCCTGCAAGTCCACCTTTGGACTGTGCCCCATTCCACTTCTGGGATATAATCTGTCAACCCCATAGGCCAAGTCGTCAGCTGGCTAACCCTTGACCCTGTTAGGTCAGCTCTGCCCAGCCCTTGCCATTTATGGGCCTGCTGCCTAGACTTCCGCTGTATCTATATATACATACACTGCTTGTAGATACTGCACACCTCAGTGAACAAATGAACTAGAGTTATACCCCCTTTCTAGTAGACTCCCCAGTCCATAAATTAGGGCACCAATGTGTTACTGGGCACAGCCCTCCAAACACAGAGTCACCTTTGTTTGCCCTGAATCTAGCTAGTCTCTGACAGATGATGTCAGATACATGGTGAGGAGGGCAGTGTTCCTGGACCTTTCCCCAGCTGGAGGTAGAGAACAGGTGGAAGGACCATGGCCTCAGCGACTTGGAGAGGAGTGCTGTGCCTACATTCGGTAACACTTTAGGAGTCTGGTCCTTAACTTCAGAACAAGAGGGCACGAAGGCATGAACTCTGGGGGGAGTCTAGTCATCAATTTTGCACTGAGGTGCCATCAACTACAGTACAGGACTTATGTGCATAATAGAAGACAAATGGGAACAAAGGGGAAAACCCAAGGGGGACTTACCCACTTGCCAGGTCAGCAAGCTCATGAGAGAATTGCCTTATTGAGCATTGTGGAGTGGGTAGGTGAAGGGTGGAATTAGCGACAGCTACTGGAGAGTGGGAAAGCCTTTGCAGAGTGGGCAGAGGTCCTAGGAGGTCCATAGTAATATTGGGTAGGTAGAAATATTAATAAATGTATAAGGTGAGGATAAGAGGTACCGGAGAAGGTACCAGAGATCAGAGGTGGAGGTGAACTGGAGGGTATGGCAGAGGTGTGGGGGGAGGATGGACCAGAGGTGGACTGGAGGCATGGCGGAGTAGAGTGGAGGTGAGGTGGAGTTGGTATGGATATGACAGATGAGTGGAAAGCAGTGTTTGTGACCAACTGGGGGCTATTTGAGCCCATGGTGATGTCTTTCAGCCTATGTGTGAGGGGACAACTCCCAGGTCCCCATGACCCTCCCCTATGGCCCACAGCCTCTCCTGTAAACAGCCCTGTCCAGGGCACAGTCCTACTGTGAGTAAGAAGATGAGAAGGAAGTTCTCACTTCCCACAGTGGCCACAATATAACAAAAATTTCCAGAAATATCTGGAAGCCACATGAGGCCCATGACCCAGGGCCTGGGGTGTCCAGCTGCATGGAGCATCCAGCACAGGGCACATGCAGGGGTGCAACAGCTGGGTGCAGGTGTGGGCTAGGTCAGGGTGTGTGCCCTGACACTATGCAACTCCCCCATGACCTTCCAGACAATGATGAATGACATCCTCTGGGACTTCATCGACTGGGAGGTTGTCATCTGTTATATAAACAACATCCTCATCTTCACTGCCACCCTACATCAGCAAACCTGAATGCAGAGGTCTGAGAACTCATAGAGCTCTCAGAGCTTCAGTCCTTTGAAATTGCAGGTCCCCTTCTCTGAGAGCTCTGAAAAGTAGTCAAAGCTCTGAGAGCTCATAGAGCTATATTTGCACACAGGGGACTATGAGCTGCCTGAGTGTTTAATTTACCCAATATTACAATTTAAATTTAAGAGCATTGACTCTGGCATCATGTGATGAGTCACAGCCAAGTCCCTACCATACAGGAAACTGATCAAACTGAGCTTAACTTTCAGCCCCCAATGCAGCACTGCACACCAAGGGTATATAGCCAAATTAATATATAGACCAAATTTAGGGATATACATACAGTTAATCTGAAATCACTTAAGAAAAATGGGGGGGGGAAATGAGGGGAAATCTGAGGGGGGGAATGGGGGGAAATTGAGGAGGGAATTGGGGGGGAATGAGGGGGGGAATGAGGTGGGGAATGAGGGAAAAATTCAGGGGGGAAATGGGGGGGAATGAGGGGAAATTTGAAGGGGGAAATTTGGAGGGGGAATGGGGGGGGAAATGAGGGGGAACTGGGGGGTTTCTAAAATTTTGAAAAAAAGTCAGGGAAAATTAAGGAAAATTCAGAAAATGGGGGACTTTCTAAAAAAGGAGAGTGTCCAAAAAATCAGGGGAAATTAGGGGAAAAATTGGAAATTTTGGGATAAGTTAGGGAGAGATATTTCAGGAAATTAGGAATAATTGGAAAAAAAATTAAATCACTTTTTTGATAATTCAATGTGCATTGGAAAGTGCCAAAGTGGGGGTAATGTAGCAATGTATGTTTTAGTGTTAGAAAAGTCTCCCACCATGTTTTGATGAGCCAAATAACCATGGCTTTTTGACCATGGGAAATTTGGTGTCAAAGGCTTGGATGATATCTGAAGAATACATCAGCTTTTTGTTTGCTTTATTGGGTGGTATTTTTGATTTACTTCATTTGGAACACTTTTTTAAAACTGATTTATACCCTACATAACATGCATGGTCACATTGCCACACTTTGGTGCTTTCCAATTCACATAGAATCATCAAAATTGGTTGAGTTTTGAGCAAGAAATGAGATGAAAGATAAAGTGCAAATTTTTGAATTTCAGAGTTTTCCTCACATTTTGTAAATAGCAATAAACAAATAAGGTGCTGATTTTAGTAAACACAAAAGGTATATGAGCTTTCAGAGCAATGACAATGGCTGTTTTACACACACATATACTTTGCACTACTGGTGCCAAAATAACTAAGCAGATTCCATGGAGATATGAAGACCATGGATTATTTAAAAACAAAAAGCTCAGCTCATAGAGCTCATAGAGCTTTTCAAGTAATGATGCTGGCCATTTAATATGCATTTCCAAAAATGTATATACATATTATCTTTGTGTCATATCCATCCACAGCCATCGACTTCCACTACCTCTGACCCTTCCGGACTACCTCTGCTCCTTCTTCACTCACCTTGGAGCTCCTGTATTCTGCAATCACCTCCACTCCCTTGATGGTCACCACCCCTCTTTTCAATATATTATCTATGCCTCCCTAAGTATGGAGCCCCGAAGGCTTCCAGACAGCTCTGACGTCTGCTAGCACACTCCCACCTCTGCTGGGCAATTCACTTGCTTGCCCTGCAAGCCCACCTTCGGGCCTATCCCTCCTTTCCATTTCTGCATTATTGCCTGCCATTCCGCTAACCCCATAACCCAACTTGTCGGTAATATTCAATTGGCTAATGTTTAACTCTATTAGCTCCACTCCACTCAGCCCTGCCATTCATGGGCCTGCCCTCACTGTAACTATATATATACTTAACTTGTACATAGGTTACACCTCAGTAATAAAATTGACTAGAGTTGATCCCCCTTAGTTCTCATTTCCAGTAAGTAAATTAGGGCACAGACATGTAACTTGGCACAGCGCTCCTGGCTTGAGTTGCTGAGGCTGAAGCCCTCTGCCATGGAGACAATCTTTCATCTCGATCCGGTCTCTGACAGTATTTTATTACTCCCTGACTAGTACACATCTTGTATGGCACCCAAAGCCCCTCGCACTCATTTGCAACTATGCACATTAGTTCCTAACTCTGCCTCACTGTCCCCCAAACCCTTGCAGCCTGGTCCTAGTTGTCTGGCGAGAAACCCAGTTGAGTTTTGCAGCTTCTCTAATCTAGAAACCCCTCTACTGTCGACTCCCATCATGCATCCTGTTAGAAATCAATCACCAGTTGCAGATTCCGACTTCAGAGACACCACGGAACAGCCCATAGACCCAGTTCACTTCTTTGGACTTGGTTCCGAGGTCCCCGATTTCGTTGACCCTCCTCCTGCTGATCCTCCCATCCCCACTGTCCCAACCGCTGACGATGCCAAACCCATCCCCAACATGGCTATTACACAACTAGCCCAAGCCATCGCTGGTTTGGCTCGTCACACCGGATGCCCATGTCAGGGATCAGCAATGACCCTGGACCCTATGCCAGCTGCGCGTATGCATGTGAGAAGTATGCCAGTAATTCCTGTCTACTCCGCTTACCTAAGCCCCGGTGACCCAGATCATCTCCGGGATTGTTCTGGAACATTCTATGATCACGTGATTCTATCGGCAATCTGTGTGGTTTCCTTATTGCCGGACTCTACATGTATATAGCTGACCCTATGTCAGGGCTCGGTCCTCAATCAGGGACAGCCCGACCTCGGTCCTAGGTGTGTGTGGTGTTCCGGGTGCTTGGGCGCTAGACCCCGTCCTCAGCTCCTCAAACTCACTGAAGGGACTAAGCGGGGATTGAGTTGTCATGTATTACAGAGGGTAACTACAACTTGCCTAAGCGGGGATTGAGTTGAGAAGAAGGGTAAGTTTCCCTATTCCCCGCTTGGCTACTATAAAAGGAAGTGTACTGTACAGTTCGTAACGTGATTCCGGGTAGAAGCCGAGCATGTTCCCGCGACTCGGAAAAGGTGTCACATGGGTTAAGGCGAGTTGCTCGCCTTAACCCACGTGACTTTTCCCGCGGGCTCACATGCGGGTTGAAGTTGTGAGAGGTATGTAGGGATGGGGAGGTCTGGGAAGGTGGTTCTGGGGTGTGGTTGGGTGCCCTGACAGCGGGGTCAGGGGCCGATCCCTGACACCCTAAGATGGGGACATCCCTTTCCCCCAGCTTTAATCACAACTAGGTTATTGGAGCATCTTGCACGAGCACGTGCGTCCCCTGACAGCCCACCACCTCCACCATCCTCCGCTCTTTGGACCAAGGTCTGTGCCGAACAGTTTGATGGTAAAGATCCCCAAGAACTCCGATTATTTCTGGTCCAATGCAAACTGAATTTCCAGGACTGTCCCCTCACTTTTGCTAGTGACTGCACCAAGGTCATCTTCATGCAATCCTACCTCAAAGGAATGGCCCTCAATTGGTTTGAGCCGGATCTATTATTCGATCAAAATTCTATGCTTCATCCATGATGGATGAATAACTATCAAGAGTTCATCAACAAACTTCAAATGAACTTCGGTCCTCACGATCCTGTGGGTGACACCGAAGTTCAACTAATGACCCTGGACATGAAGAACAGTGCAAGAGAGCTAGCGGCTCTCAGTGCCAACCAGGCTCATGGGGGAAACTCTCCACAAGAACTCCTTTCTCCACTGGCCTCGATCCTGAAACTCCTGGAAATTCTCTGGAAATTCCGCAAGGTCCGGGCTCAGTATCCACTACCCACTCTTTGTGGGCTAGACAACTGCCCTTACTCCTACTGTAGGAATTCCTAACACACTCACACTAACTCTGATGCGTCCTAGCGCCTTAGAGAAAATGGGGGAGGGGAGAACTTAATTTTTCAATCCCGGTATGTACAGGATTATAAAGAATAAACATTTTTAGAAATGATTGATGGGAAATATTGGCACCATATGGCTCCTGGACCCAATCGTAAGCGAAATATTTGAAAAGGGCATCAAAAGAATAAAACAATATCATCCAATATATCAAAATGATGGTAAAAATGTGAAAATATGAGGAAAATCGGGATTTTATCAATGATTTCACAAAATTAGTACCTGAAACTGGAAATGTGGCTGGGAATAACCTTTACGCGGCTAAAGAACATTTTACCCAATTTATTTGATGCCTTGGGAATGTGTGAAGCATGCTTTTCTGACTTCCCGCTTGCCTAAATTGAACTTCCCACACCTGCACATGACCAGATCCTGTGACCTGTGCCGTGGCCAACCTCCCCAACACTTAACTCCACCAAATCTCCACCGATTGGGACGATCTTGACATCGACGGATTCGTAGGAATTAGGAGTATTTTTAGGTACCAAGTTTGTATCGATTTATGGAACGAATGAAGATGATTTTTGAATGGTGAAAATGGATATCCGAGCCGGGTTTGCGTGTGGGTGATTATCCCACCTACAATGGGCACCACATCAATAAGTACATCATTGAGTTCAACCGACATGCATCTCAACTTCATGGTTATGGAGAAGCCATGCTCCGTCATTTTTTCTATAATGGATTGCCGGAATGTATCAAGGACAATATTGCCAGAGTAGGTAAACCTTCTACTCTTTCGGAACTTTGCACCTTGTCACAAACTTTTGATGCATGCTATTGGGAGCGTAAATCCAAAGTGACATGTCATGCGAAACCCTCCTCCTCCAACGTCTTCGACAAGTCCACTGCTGCTTCTCGCTCTGACCCCATTCCTTCCTCCTCCTCGTTCAACTCTGCTTCCAGTAGCAAGCCTCCAAAGGACAACAAAAAGTCCGAGGCCAGCTCCGCTAAGCTGGATCTTTCATCAAAACTCGGAGACAATGTGTCAGGGCAATAGCCCCGAACCCCGAGTCATATGTAAATTAGATACATATAGTCACGTGGGTAAGCAGGAACCTCCAGGAAACTGCTTACACACCACCATAAAATACACATTCTTGTATCACTTATGGCTTTGTGTGCTGAGCTACCCAAAGACCTCACACTTTTTTAAGTGTATGAGGTGTGTTTTACAACACAACCCACAACAACTACATACTCTTAACATCTGACTCGGTAGCACCTATGGCACCTAAACACACCCACAAGGGCAAAGTCGCATCTGCAGTGACACTAAAAAGAATTGAGCAGTTTATTAAGAAACCGCAATCTCCCATGATGGGAGATTCAAACCAAAAGCCGTCGTCAGACGATGATGAGGATCAACATGATCCAGCATTAGCAACCACCTCAGGGCTGGTCCCTGAAGGTTTTAGAAACTTATGTGGAGTAAGGGCAGGGCCAAATACCCCCAGAACTCCACAACATACTGATCTAACCCAAGCTGGGGAAGATCCCTCACCTCCTCACGAGGTGATCGACTTGCATGAAAAACGTGTAAGCGCCGAACGATCAGCCCAAAAAGCTGATCGGATAGAGTCGCAGGAAACTCCAGGGCCCCAATATCCCCTGGAGTCCCCCCTCATGTCCCCAAGTCAAGCCCCAAAGGCAGACAAAGGGAAACAAAGGGAAGAGCCCCTGCGTCGGCTATCCGAAAAACTACTGGACTTGTTCCAGGTTCCGTCTGAATGGAGGACGGAAAGTGAAGACCAACTTCTTCTCAGGCTAAAAGCCCGAGAAGGTGCGAAGATACGCCCTGAGAGCAGGATCTCCCAGAGTGCAGAAGCTCCAAAAGAACTTCCGCTGTTTACACTCCCACACACCATGTCAGACAAGGCAAGGTCGCCAACCTTGGAGGAGGTCTCTGAGATAATGAAGAGGAGGCGAACTGAAATGAGGGAGTTCGCTGAGGAAGCCTTACATAAAAGTAAGGAAAAACCAGCGAACAGACCCCTCTATGAAAGGGAAGCACCCTCTGCAACGGCCTTGCCTAAACAAAGCAAGCGTGGAGTGTTCACTCCAAGAACCCATTCTGGAACCCCCAGAAGTGGAAATGCAACTGGGGAGAGTCTCCGCTTGCCCAACCAAACTTCCTCCTGGAAAACCAGGAATCGTGCATAATAAACGCGATAAACTCGGTCCAAAAAAAGATCAAGGAAACGAACCATAATAGTACGGCTCGTCTAGAGATAACTCCAGAAAGAATGGCCAATGCAATCGATGCATTGACTGAAATAAACTTGCTGAAGGAAATAAATTTCTCACAAAAAAGTGAGGAAACAAATAAACACCCCTGGACCACGGTCCAGGACATAAATAGAACTCGTGAAAAATTCACGAAAAGAACCACCAGTGAAAGCACACTGGAATATCATCAGTGACTCAACAGAGACGCTAAGGAGATCCTTCTCCCAAGGATAGGAGAAGATGATGCCGAAAGAAGGCATCATTCAGAAATTAGGAGGAGAATTGGCACGTACCAAAGGTTCGGCCAAACATCCACTTATGATGGACCTCTCGAACAGAGAGGTAACTCAATCACACCCTCTCAAAACAATGAGAGAATACAAATACAACTTCAGGCGAATTCGCCTGAAACCAAAGAAATGCTGCGAGGAAGATTTCCCCCTGCAAAAACCCCCCCAAAGGAGAGATCTCCATTGGATAGCGACCCCACGAAGGCAGGGGAGCAAGAAGAGTACCTGGAGAAATGGTACGAAAAGGCCATAAGAATGGCGGAAGTGAGAATACTCACTCCCTACCCAGAAGGAGTGAAGCCTGAAGCCCTAAAGAATGGGCCAGCATTCCCTGACAAGAAATGGTCAGGGGAGAATGACATGGAATCATTCTGGCAGTGGTTCACAGAACTACTGGGATTCCTCGCCTCGCGAGGTCCCCAATTCGACGAAGTCCACCTGGACTGCTTGATTTGTGGATTAGGGGGGCCCACATTCGACCTTGGAATTAGACTCCGAGACGAAACTCCTCAGAGGAGACGAGGGCATGTTCCTCGAAGTTCTCAACATATTGATGAGAACTTTCATTAAAGCCTCTGCCGTGCTGAACGCGACAAAGAAGTACCGCAACGTCAAATACGAAGCGGAAAAGGCCTAAAATAGTTCTACCTAGAACTGTCTGTCAGGGTTCAGCACCCTGCCCTAGGGTGCCCCAGACTCCCCAACCAATCCCTTCCTTCCATTCCTTCATTGTTGCCTTGTTGTTGCCTTTCTGTGTTGTGTATCCATGCGCACAGGATAGCGTGGGAACTTTCTGAGCGAGCAGCTTGCCCAGAATGTTCCCACGGGTCACAGCCACAGTTCTGGGCGAGCAACTCACCCAGAACGTTCCCATGCTTACTGGGCACTGCCACCTGGATGTTCCCTCCAGGTCACACTACACAACTCTAAGAGCTGTATAGTTGTGGGCATGTGACCCATTCCTTTATATAGCAACCATGCAGGGAGATGAGACCTTTACCCTTCTTCTCATCTCATGCCCTGCATAGGCAAGTGTATATATTATCTTTCCTTTTACTATACATCTCATGCCCCGCATAGTGTGAGGACAGGTTAGATGGGGGTTGAGGTCAGGGAGCCTCCGAGTCCAGGGCCAGGCCCTGACACTGTCCAAAGCAGCATCCCAGATGGTGACGCCGCCAGACCAGGCATCCTTCAATGCCAGGTTCCTAAACTACATTCCCCTCGAATGGAAGAGGGAAATGATTGCTCATGATAGAATCAGAGCAGACTTCTCCTCAAACGAGGAGATGTTAAAAGCAATATCTCGTGTAGACGAGATAATCGATGGGCTGAAGATGTCTTCAGCCTACAAATCAGGTTACTATACCCAAACAACTACCACGGCAACCACAAGCCATGGTAGAGCCCTCCCATCAGGAAAGAAGGCTGAAGAGCTGAAACCCAGATGGAAAGAGGATATATCCTCGAAAAACTTGAGGAAAACTGACCAAAAGTCAGTTCCAATTTGCGGCAAATAGGGCAAATGAAAGATTGCCCAAGACACAATGTAACAGGCGATGAAAAACCAAGGCGCATAGCTGCCATGGAGATCGCGACCTCAACGGATGAAGAGTTGAAAGGCTCATTAGATGAGAAACCAGAGAACAACTCTGGTAACTCCGAAGCATCAAGCTTCGAAGTAGAGGACCCATACGAAGGACCTCAATACTCACCCGACTCAGAGGGTGAGGAAGTCAACGTTGGGACCATAAGGATGGGCCCAATGTCAGTCATCGACCACAATGACATAAATTACAAAATCAAACTGGCTGTAGCATGCCAGCTAGAAAACATGGCAGACGAAAAAGTCGCCAAAGCCTTGGTGGAAGCACCAAGAAAAGACGCCTTGGGGAAATACACCAAAGTACCCAACCGATCCAAGATCGATATGTCGGACGTGTACGAACAAATATGTGTGGACCCAGATGACGTCCATAGGACGACATTCTCTACGCTCCATGGGACGTACAACTCAAACACAATGCAGCAAGGAGACTGAAATGCTCCCTGTACTTTCCAGTGCATGCTGACCTGGGAACTACAAGGAGAAGTAGGCAGACGCCTACATGTCTGGTTCGACAATATATTCACCAGCACAAGCTCAGTGGAGAACCACAATAAAGCATTATTGTGGTTGTTCACTCACCTCAAGGGGGCGAAATTCTACATAAGCTGGAAAAAATTCCAGCCATTTGCTCCAATCCTAGATGTTCTAGGAAGCCACATGGATGAACAAGGCATCCATGCTCAAGTGGATAAAATGGAAAAAATCCGCAACTGGCGAGAGCCAGTAGACCACACAGGAGTCCTAAGATTCCTGGGAATGGTTGAATATCTATCGATATTCATGCCAAACGTCAGCGGTTACACAGAACCACTGCAAACAATCTGCTCAAACAAGCAGACATTCAGGTGGACACCACTCCACCAGAAATACTTCGATGAGATCAAATGTCTAGCATGCAGGGCTCCGATCCTGAAGCCCGTCCAGTGGAATCCACTGGAAAGCCTCTCAGAAAAAGAGAGGACCAAACTCCACGTCTGGGTCATAACAGATGCATGCCCAGTGGGCATGGGTGCATTAATTGGACAAGGCGAAAGGTGGCAAACTTGCCGCCCGGCCGCATTCATGTCCAAAAGGTTCACCAACACACAACATAGGTACTTCGCCTATGAGCTCGAGGCACTGGGCGTCCTCGAAGCACTCATGAGATGGCAAGACGACCTCATGGGAGGCTGTGAATTCACAGTAATCACGGACCACAAAGCTTTGGAATATTTCAAAGTGAAAAACCACAACTCAGGTAGACACCTGAGATGGCAAGCCTTTTTCGCAAGCTTCAATTGCAAAATAAAATGCGTGGAAGGCCACAAGAACAAAGTGGCAGATGCACTCTCACGATACTACAACTTGTCAACGGACGAGGATCTGCATTTCGATGACTATGTGTCGGCAGACATCCACCTGGACAAAAATGCAGAAGACATTATCCCTGACAGAATCGAGGAATACGAAGAACTGCTACTAAGCAGTACCCTGAGGAAAAACTCAGAGAGAAAGAGACTTGCAGCAATATGCGCGAGAAATACCCTAGAGGAAGCTCTAGGGGGGAGCGCTGAAGGAGCGGAGCTGGATCACCTTATGTAACCAGTTTCCTACGTCCAATAACGATATTAGAGTTTGTGCTGATTTGCGTACTGACCGTGTTTTGGTTGCCAAATATATAATTGTTCACTGTCTAAA